ATGAACGTAAACGTAAATATTGATGTAGAAACGCTGATAGCGTAAGAATTATACTTGGTCAGCCGGAAACGATGAATTCTGCTTTGTTGGTTTATTTAAGTTTTCATCTAATAAATTGCCTTTATTGAATACATAGTGGCTAATGGTTTTTCAAAGGTTTTGATTTATATTCTGGCGTATTTGTGGCAAAATGGCACATGCGTTAGCTTTAAAAACCATAATAAAGTTTTTTTAATACTGAATGATTTTTATATTTTAAGGGAAAAAATCATAAAATTAATAGAAAAAAATGCTTTTAGTATACATATAATTGTATTAGTTAATAATTTGGTAAATGTTAATGTACGAACGCCTATCTGACGCATAGACCTATTGAGTGGACGCGTAATCACAATATTTTCGTGGACAAAACTGAACAAAGAATGACGTAATTTAATAATTAATGAGATCTTTCTAAATGTAAGACCGCATGTTTGTTTATTTAACTTGTTTAACTGATACTGGTGAAAATAAATAAAAATACTTGTAAACGGATATTTTACCGGTGAAAGATTATTTTAGGCTCTTAATTCTCGTCAATATAATATTTTTATACAACTTCTAAAACTTAATGCAAAATAAACCAACATTGTATTTTAACAAAAATAAATAAACTAGTCGCTTTAAGGTTAAATCCGATTTGGATTTTCAACACTCCAATTGGCCAATACACAAGAGTAAGCGTTAAGCCGGGTCTAAAATTGTCTCAGGGGTCCGATCGCAGAACATACGCTTGCGCAAGGTTCTTTTGTCAGCTGGGTGCTTTGCGCAAGCTTATGTTCTGCGATCTGCGACCTGCGACAATTGTAGACCCGGCTTTACGCGTTTACTTTTAATATGTCTATGATCTGACATGTCAGAAATAGAAAATTCCTGGAGCGTGAAGTAAGCTACCGCAAGAAATATATATAACAGTGTAAAAACAAATTATTTACAATTTAATATTTTATTTGACATTTAACAACTGTTAGATTAATTAAAACTAAACCCTTTTAAACCACAATTTTATTACAAAATTAAAATGCCAAATCAGGCTTACAATATTAAAATGTGCGTAGCGTTCTGTATCTCAACCAAGAATGTCCCGTTTTCTCGACCTCGTTCCCCAATTCCGTCACTGCTCCTCTTTGTACTTCTACTTGAGTGCCCAAACCAGTCTAGAATCACCTGTGACGGTTAACTCTTTGAACGAAATCCAGAACTCTATAAGAAAATAATTGTTATTAACTAGTAAGGACTACAATTTAATTAACTTATAATCATTCAGCCTTCATGACGCCAACTCCGGCCAATAGCCACCTACCTAAGAAAAGGGTAAAACACACTCGGCCGAGTATAATTTTAAACAGTACTAATAAAATGAAATACAATAACGAGAATAATAGAAATAAAGGTAATATCTTAAAGCTAATGATCACCCCATACATGTATGTACCAGTGACCCCAGGATATACAAACCACGACTTCTCAGTAAAAGCCCCGGATACGTTCTATGGTCCACGTACCCTCACTGCATTTACCTCGAAATCGGGAAAGTACACCTGACCTTATGACTCAGCAGTTCTATGGTCCACTGCCTGCCATACCCACTAGTTCTATGATCCACTACTGTTAGTTACCAACTTCCTCATCAAATACCATCCAAGGCCGAATATTGTCAACCGCCGCAACTCCTGCATACTTTAGCCGCAAACGAGTGCTGCCTGGGATGTCGGACACCTTGTAGCGATCGTTTTCCAGCACCTTGGTGATTCGAAAGGGACCTCTCCATTTTGGCAACAATTTTTGGCTGCTCCTTGTTGCTGCAGTTCCAGTCATCCGTAGTAAAACAAGGTCGCCTTCCGCATAAGGATGAGCTGCAGTCCTAGTCCTGTCAAAACGTCGTTTCTGCTCCGCCTGATATTTATCCTGCTTCTGTACGATGCTCGCACGTACAGCGGTAACGTCAACGACTTGCCGCTCTACTTCCATGCGTCCCTTTAAAATACTCTAAAACCCATTAAAGCCTCACTAGGAGCCACCCCAAGAGCCTTATTAATTGTACAATTTAGACCTAACTGTATATTGGCAATATTTTTATCCCAAGTATCATCATCGCCGTTTGCGCCCATGGTAGTCAATGAGTCTAAAGGCCGCTGCACAACTGCCCGGTAACGGGAACGGGAACAGCAACGCAAACGGGAACGGGAACGAGAATGATTTTTAGATGCACAATCAAAATAACGAAACGGAAACAAACAGGGATTTTAGCATTTACCTAGTTGTATTTTTAGTTGCTTTTTAATTTTGACATAAAAGTAACTAGAAAAATAACTAGTTAAACGCTAAAATCCCTGTTCCCCCATTTTGTTTCAAACAAATTGTTTGCTCTTTTGTTATTTGTGGTTATTTTGATTAAAAGCGTTTATATTATTTTATTATCAGTGAAATAAATATTTTATGCTCGTAATGGATTCTTCTATGTTCGCAATGGACGACGAAGATGATATTTTCGTTGCATTGATGTGTTTACTGTTGTGTTTAATTAATATGCAAATTCAGGAAAGAAGGTAATTAAAAACATCATGTATCATTGCAGTAAATTAATTTGAAGTTATTTTTAGATGGTGGGTCAGACCAATATTCCAACGAAGGAAAGAGAAAGGTGCCTTTGCTAATTTATTTCATGAAATAAAAACGAATGATCATGAAATGTTTTTAAAATACACCAGAATGCTTCCGGAACAATTAGATTTTATTTTGTCTCTGGTAAAACATAAAATATTAAAGAGAAGCAGGAGAGAATTTCTAAGTCCAGAATTACGTTTGGCAATGACTCTAAAATATTTGGCCCATGGAGGGTCATTTCAAAATTTATCCTGGGAGTTTAGAGTAGGACACTCAACTGTTTCCAAAATTATTCTTGAAACTTGTGAAGCAATTTGGAAGGAATTGCAACCTAAATATTTAAAACCTTTAAATAAAAATGACTGGTGCAGTATTAGTGATCAATTTCATGACAGATGGAATTTTCCACATACTCTGGGAGCCATTGATGGAAAACATGTCCAAGTTCAGTGTCCGATAAATAGTGGCTCCCAATATTTTAATTATAAGGGTCATTTTAGCACAGTGTTACTTGCATCCTGTGATGCAGAATATAAATTTATTTGGGTTGACATTGGAGCATATGGTTCTGAACATGATGCCGGTGTTTTTAGAAGATCTAAAATGGGAAAAGATCTGGAAGAGGGTAATGTTGACTTGCCAGGGCCCCAAAATCTGCCCAATAGTGATACTGTCATGCCTTACTTTTTTGTCGGAGATGAAGCTTTTCCATTAAAGTCTTATATAATGAGACCATATCCTGGAAAACATTTATCTGATAAAAAATTAATTTTTAACTACAGGTAAAAGAGACTTTAAAATTTTTGTTTTATTATTAATATATAACTTTTTAGATTATCCCGTGCTAGAAGAACTATAGAAAATTCATTTGGAATCCTAGCAAGCAGATGGAGAGTCTATAGGCAACCTCTGCTATGCTCTATTACAACCACTGAGGCAATTGTTAAAGCAACTATATGTTTGCATAATTTTCTACGCACCGAAACACCCCAAACATATACACCTCCTGGTTTTATAGATATTGTATCAGAAAACGGTGAAACAGTAGATGGTGAATGGAGGGAAATTACAAGAAATGATTCAAATTTAACCCCTGTGGGTAGAATGGGGTCTAATATAGCTCCAAACCTCATTAATAAAATGAGGGATGACTTGGCAGACTACCTTACATCTGATGTTGGATCTGTGCCTTGGCAGTTGACACGTGTTCATAGAGGAAGAATTTAACTCATCGTGTTAGTTAATTACTAGTTAGTTACTAAATAAAAACCAATAAATATTACAATAAGCATTTTATTAAAACCTTAAATACATAATAATTTTCTTACTGGCACTAAGGATTCTACAGGAACTTGTACTTGCACTTCCATGGAAGATGTTAATCTGAAATAAACATATTTATTTACCATCACACTTTTTTAAGGCTTTGATTTTTATTTCATGCAAAAATAATAAATACCTTTTCTTTCTTATATATGTTGCCAGCCACAGCATTTGATTATAGAATATAAAATCTTTTTACATCCACCTGCAGAACCGGAAGGAGGTTGGGTGTTCATCTCTCGGTGAGCCCTGACAAATCTATCTCGTAGATTTTCCCATCGCTTTTTAACAATTGGAACTACAAAAGGAAAAAACATTGAAAAAACATATAAAAAATTGAATAATATTTTAATTTAGTTAAATATATTTGCATACATACCATCAAACTTCAAGGCCTGGGCAATTGAAATCCAACTGTTTTCCTTCATTCTGTCGTCCTTATAATCTTTAAGACCCCGATTATATAAATGTGGGCAGCGCTCTACCAAATCTATTAACAGTTCGTCATTCATCATAAAATAGTTTGCTCTTGTTTTTACACAGATACAAATAATAATGATTAATTCAGAAACAAACCAAACTACTTATTTAAATTAGGTATAAATTTATTTACCTGAATTCACTCTACCTTCCGAGACTTTTCATTTTCGCTCACAAATTGTATTACCTCGAACGTCAAGATTTTCCATTGTTTTTAAACATTTGGCTACAAATTTAGGAATTTTACTCGATCGTACAGGTAGACCTAAATATAATCATTGTTTTCAGACGTAACCTGGGGGTCGATTTTTCAAATCGGTCGCATATTAGCGTAAACGCAAAGTTGCGATGATTAAAAAACGTGCACGTTTCTAGTTCTTAATTTTTGACAGGTATTCGTTCTTTTCTTAAGTAGACGTTTTTGTTTACGATTACAAAATCTGACAACACTGTTTCTGATTGTTTATCTGGAAACTTTCTAACCTAAAATTGGCGTTGTTTACTTATGTTTGGATCTGATGACTTGTGTTAAGACAATTTTGGTTCTTTAGAAGTATCTAAAAGCACCATGGCGACTACAAAAAAACGTGGAATAAATGTAACCGAAAATCAGAAAAAAAATTTGATTGAATTTGTTCAAAAGAATCCTCTGCTTATTAGTGGAAAACAAAGCAACAAGTACACTTATAAGGATCTCCAAAGGGATTGGCAAACGGGCACAGACATATTAAACAGTATGCCGGGGGCTAAAAAGGATTGGCGCGGGTGGCGAAAGGTGCAAGACCTATTGTTTTTTGTTACCATCAATCTAATAATTAAGATGTATTTTAGTGTTGGCAAGATTTGCGTTTCCGCACAAAAAATAAAGTATCGGTTAATAAGAAAGCGGCTGGAGGTACTGGAGGTGGTCCTTTCACCGAAGAGGTACTAACAGCAACCGAAGAGGAGGTACTAACTGTCATAAAAAAAGTTTCGATAGACGGTCATGATGTCCCTGAATCTACCGTGGAATTTGTCTTCGAGGAGGACAATGCCATACCCGCCGCCGCTTCCGAAATTGTAATTCACGACCCAGTTGTGGAGGAGAATGCAGCAAATTTTGAAGTAGACTCTGACGACATTGCGGAAGTTTTGCCGCCTGCCACAGAGTTTGCTCTTCTGCAAAACGTGATTTTGGAACCATGCACAATGGCAAGTGCAAGAAGTGACCCTGAATCCGCGTTAAAGGACCTCACTAACAAGACCAAACCGTTTAAGGGCAAAATGCCTAAGAAATTGGAACACCTGATAAATGCAGCAACTGCTGCAACATGTTTTAAAGAGAACTTAAATAAAAAGGTGAGCATAAAAGAAGCATACTATCAGCAAAAAATTACGTTGTTACAAGAAATGAAATTGGTTGAAGAAAAGAAGGTGGCCGCGTTGGAGCGCATTGCTAACGCATTGGAACAGCACCGAGGGGATTCTTAAATTTTTTTGTGGCAATATTCTATTTATGTGTCAAACTAACCAAAGAATGAAGAGTTAATTTTTTTTTTGAATAAGCAATGGTTATTTATTTTTTAATTTAATTTAAGTTTTGTTAATTACATAATTAAGTTGCAAATAAAAATATTAAAAACAAGAGTTTTTTTAACGGCTAATGTCGTCTAGTGTAGTGTATGTGTAGGCCTTCGGTATATGTTCCCTGATGGTTGGATATTTAACGTCGTGCGAAATGGTCAATCAGCCGAAATCGCCATCGTCTACCTGCAGCAAGTTCGGGATTAACTCGCCCGATGGCATTTTCTTCATTGTTCTCGACATTCTCTTCATTATTAATCAATCCATAGTCCACATCCTCTTCATCATCATCGATTTCATCCCTCGGTACATTGTATGCTATACACATGTTGTGTAACACAACACATGCATTGATTATTCTACATGCTACCTCCGGGCGATAGTGAAGCACTCTGTGCTTCAAGAGGCATCTGAACCGTCCTTTCAATAAACCATTACAACACTCTATCTTGCTTCGAGTTGCCTTTTGAATGATGTTAAACCTGTGTTCAGGGGTACCCGGTACTGTCTCCTCGGTTATTGGGGTAATCAACCAAGTACGAAGCGGATATCCTGAATCCCCCAGAAGGTAGTAATCACTGTGTCCGAGGCCATGTAACCGTCGTAAAAGCCCTTGAACGTTAGAGCGGCTCCAAATAAAGGCGTCATTGGTACTTCCCGGGTATCGCGCTATCACATTTAAAATTTTTAAATCCGGATCGCATATAAGTTGGACATTTATGGAGTGGTAGTTTTTCCGATTAACATATAGATGTTCCGGATAATCGGGATGATTTATGTTTGGCGGAAAAATTGCCACGTGCGTGCAGTCGATACAGCCAACCACCCCTGGTATGCCATGTTGGTTGAAAAACTTAAGTCTAACGCTGTTTAGCTCGTCAAAAGCATTAGGAAACTTGACCCATTCATTGAAAATATTGGGCTGATTGAGTGCCTCATAAACTTCTTTTATACAATTGCTCACCGACGACTGTGTAACATCCAAGTATTTGTTAGTTGCAATATCCCACTGATAGCTGCCCGTTGCAAAGAACTTAAGTGCTACTAGGACCTACAATTGTTTCATGTATAATGTAACTGCTCTAGGTGAAAAGGGAATGTTAACACTTGCCTTGGTTGAGATAGTTAAATCAGAAGCTCTTGTAGGGGCGGTCATAAAAGGCGTAATTCGTTGAATTAAATATTGAGTTAACTCCTTCGACAGTCTAAACAGTTTAGTAAATTTCCTATCACTTAGCTCAATAAAAGGATTTCGTGGGTTTCGCTCGTGGTTAAAAAGTTGTTGCTGCTCAGCATTGCCCAGATTGTCTATCGCGATCACTTCCATTAGCTCCTCCATCACTTAGTACGATTAATTAGGCTATTCAATATGATTAAATTTGGGTAATGACCACTACTTGTGCAACTACGAAGTATAACTAGTACAGAAAAGAGCACTTTAAATACTTGCGATCACCCTAAGACCGCTCGTTGTAAAGCGTTCACAATTTGCGAGTACACGTTTGTTTGAGAGTGGTCAAAAATTCAGTTTTTACAAACGATTACTTTTTTAATAAACGATGGCTCAAAAATCTACCCCCTGATATGATGTAATATCGCACAAAAATATCATCGTAGATTAATATTATAATCATTAAAAAATATATTTTCTGTGCAAAAAATCGAGTTTCTGAATGTTTTTTTACAATCATGCAGAAAACCATCAAATGTCATTTTAAAATGTAGGTTATCTATGAAATGTAGGGTTAAGTTTAATGCTTTTCTATTGGCTCCGGGAAGCCGACGGAACGGGAAAGTTAAAACTTGGCCAACTTTCACGTTCGCGTTCCCGTTCCCGTTGCCGTTTACGTTTATTGTGCATGCATACATTAAATTTGGCCTTTTTAACTTTTTTCCCGTTCGCGTTCCAGTTCCCGTTCCCGTTACCGGGCTATTGTGCAGCGGCCTTAAAATTGTACGATTATAACGTTCGACTTGGCCATTCGCACGTGGTACTGCGACTGCGTTTAAATAATGTTTGATTCCCTTGGTATTGCAAAAAATTTCAAATTTTTTACTAGTATGACTTTCCCCTATCACTTATTATACGCCTAGGAACTCCAAAAACTTTTATCATATCCTCAAAACAGCGAATTGTAAATTGTGATTTTGTACTTTTTACCGCATATAATAAAATGAATTTTGTGAAGGCATCTATTATTACTAATAATTATTATAATTATAATTATAATTGAGTGTTACCAGATTTTGTTTTTACGAAAGGTCCAAGGTGGTCAACAAGAACCGTATGAAATGGTACTGGGATTTTTGGTATTGGATGTAAAAATCCAGGTGATTTCCCTTGAGGGTTTTTAAAATATAAACAATTGAGGCAGTTTTTAACATATTTCTTAATAAAATGGCGCATACCTTTAAACCAATATTGACTCTATAGCGCAGAATCTCTATCATAGACCCTGAACCACAAAATCCCGCTAGCTCAGGTGGTCGTGGGTGAATGTCCTTCGTAATTACTACTTACCTTAATAGTTTTTAAATTGGGCACCAAGTAATTTTTTTTATGAGATGGGAATAAAAGAAATTACTAAAAAAAATTGAAGTGTATTTCACACGAAGTTTATACAGTAAAAAAAAATACTTAAATCAAATCCCAAGACAAGTTATTTTAAAGTACAAGTTATTTAAATTACCCTGGTATTACAGTATGATATTTAACACCCTTCGTGTATATTGGCCAATGTACCCGCAGTTCACATTAATCGAAGATTATATTAAATATGATAAAAAGTTTGGTAAATATTCTACCAGGACCTAATTTTTTGTTAAAGAAATGGATCTGACCTTAGTTCTGCACTTTGTAAGACAAAATTGGTGTACGTGGAGCTTTTCCTGTAAGAATTGTAGGTCAGTCCATCCGTGTACGGTATACAATATCTAATATCCTGGTGATCGTGGGTAACACAGGAGGTGCGACTTAAAACAACTTGAGACAATAATCTTGCTCGAGACTTAAACTGAGGCTCTAGCCCATAATTAAAAATTAAAGATTATAACTTAAAAGTCAAAACTTAAAAGTCAAAACTTAAAAGGCAAAACTTAAAAGGCAAAACTTAAAAGGCAAAACTTAAAACCCTAAAAGAAAAAATGAGCATAAGAATTTGCATCTTGGATGAAGAAACTAACCTTACCTTCGAGAAGGGTTTTGTCTTCGTAGGAAATAGATCTTAATTATCCCCAAATCATATCAAAAGCGGATTGATGTAGATCCAGCAAAGTTTGGTCGGGTGAAGTTAAATCCAGTTATATCCGAAATACATCGATAGGATCCGGCACTCAAAATACCATCAATTGCCAACAAACAACATTGCACGGTTCCTAATATGAATAAACATGTCTTATATCCCTTTAATAAGGTTTCACTTGGCAGAGCGAAAAATCGACCATGTTATTCTCTGGACAACCATCACAAGACAAACCTGCTTCCGGCTTCTACATTACTTTGTCCCCCTTCGAAAACCAGACCTGCGCACAACCATCCCAAAATGTCAAAATATGCTCTTAAATGGAAACTAACCATGTCAAATAAAAAAACAATTACTAAAAATCTGACAACAATAAAACAACATACAGCGGCAAAAAGGCTTGAGAAAAGATTTCAAATCAGGCACGAAAATTAAACCAATAGGAAAGCATCCACAACAGGTGCCGGATATATGAACAGTGTTGCTCCGTACATTGCATCCTACACGAACCTGCCACTAACTTCTAGCCGGTGCCCCAACATCGATCCCGACTGGACAAAGAATTTATTATATATTATACAATGCATCATTATCATTTAAAATTGGCGGCACAACAATAATATAATAATAAATTGTACCTGTATACATGTTAAGGGCACGTTAGTTACGTAATAAAACCAAACCAACCCAAACTCAACAACACAACCCAACCGACCCCGCCCCATTCCCCCCCCCCCCGCCCCATTGAGCAAAAAACCCAACTAAAATGGGCAAATTTATGTTACGATAAAAATAAAACACTTTTTAACAATGGAACAACAAATTTATGAAATAAAAAAGTAAAAAAATTTCGACAACTTCTGAGTATCGAACCCGGGACCTCTCGCATGCAAAGCAAACGCCCTACCATCTAAGCTATCTAGCTTGACAACAAATATTATATGTTCGGGGAACAAAACCGGATTATTATTATGACGTCACGTTATAAGGCGGTTCGTGCCAGCACGTGAGAAGTCGGGATCGATGTTGGGTCACCGACTAGAAGTTACTGAACCTGCCTAGTCCACGCTTTCAAATCGCTGAACGATACATTTGGCAACCCCGCGATAAAACGCCGCCTAGCGTGAACCGTTCGATCTACCGTTACGTCAACACAAATGTCAACCCGTTCAAAGTAAGTAAACAATTAATAACTGAATAACTCTACCACCACAGTTCCAAAAGATGAAGGCTACATTAATATACACGCTTTTTGTTTTTAGGTATCATAAGCAGCACTAACTGCTGATCCCGCCAACAACTTTTGAACTAAGATTGCAAAGTCAAACATTCATTATTTAAGACATCCAAAACATAGATAACATAGATCCAAAAGCAATAAAACAAAGGTAAGTTAGGCACGTTGTCCAAAAAAATATATATCACAAACCAAGTTTATAACGTAAGCCAACTATTATTAAATTCTATTACTTTTAGGTTATGCTGGACGAATGACAAGGTTATTACATATTTGTATTGTTGTTGATGTTGTTCAATAAAGTTTCAAGAAATAATAGATGTTTTAGTTGTCATTAGGAGCTATCAAGTCCTAAGGAAGCAAAATAAAATAACCAAGAGCAAGGCAAATTCACAAAACTACGATTACAATGCTCAACACTGAACCGT